AGTCATGGGCAACGTGGCTGCAAGCAAGCAAGTGCTGCAGCTGCCACAGCTGGGCGGCTCTGATCCACCAGGTGTCAAACTCCATCCTTTCCAATGACACCTCAGTGGCCCCGATGCTGGGACGTCCCCTCTGAAACACAGGTCTCAACTAGCTCTTACAAGAGGGCTAATCTAAACACAGCTGCCATGGTTTGGCTGCTGAAGGTGTAGAAGTGGAAATAAGGCCAAAAAAGGAAAACCAGACAGTGAAACCCTGGATCCTTTACCTTCCAGCCCATGGAAGTCTGATAAAACCAGTCTCTGGTGAAAGCAGCGGAGAACATTGTCACTGTGTCCAAGACCAGGTGGAAGTGGCTCTCAGCAGCATGCGACACAACAGAAATCATTCCCTGCAACCACAGAGAAATGGAGATTTGGCTCCAGACCAGGCATTCAGCTGTGGCCAGTGACAACGGCGAGGCAGGACATTGCAGCAAGCGGGAAATGGCAGCAATGGGGAAATCAAGGAGGTCTGGAGCAGCCCTCCCTCTCCCCCAGGAACAGGCAGGAGGTGCTCAGGACATGAGCATCATCTCACCTGGGCCTCAGACAGCTCCACAGGGTTTGTCTCCTGGAGGAACCTCAGGACCTGCCCTTGGACATGTCTGAGGTCCCGACAAGCTGCCAGTGCCATCCCAAGAGCCTTGTACAGGAAAAGCTGAAAGAGAAGAGGCCAAGCCTGAGATGTGGTCATGGCCCGACATGTCAGGAGAGGGCTGGCCTCAGATGGACCCGAGCACCCCAGGAGCAGGCGAGGCCAGCCGTGGCACCAGGCTGTGGCCAGCCACTGGAGCAGCCCGGGGGGAAGTGCCTTTTGGGGGCAAAGGAAGGGGAAGCAGTGAAAACCGCCTGTGTGGGCAGAGCACTGTCACTAGCCCCAGCGCGGGGCAGGAGACGCACCTCCTCCCAGGAGCCAGGGACAGAGCTGCCCAGCTGCCGGCTCATCTCCTGGCTCAGGCTCACAGTCCAGGCCTTGTCCTCGATGGGCTCCAGCGACGCTCGCAGGAACTGTGGGCAACAGGAGAGGAAGCGAGTGTTCCCATGCCCTTGGCCAGGACCCTTTCCACACTGGCGTGTGCTGGGGGAGGGCTGCCAGGAACAGCACTCTCTTCCCCCGCCCTGCCCAACCCTCTTTTCACCAGCCTCCCTTTTCTCCTAACACCTCAGGTGAGATCCCCTGGCACGCCAGATGTAGAGGAAGAGACAGTACTAAGGTGTGTGCTACAGTGTTAGAGAGCATTAGCCATCAGCCGTGGCACATGTGCAGAGAGCAGCTCCTCTGTATGGGCAGGCACCTACTGTGGGGGGAGGCGCAGGGTGCTCAGGAGGTGCCCCCACCTCCTTGTGCCTACACAGGCAGCCCTGAGCTTCCTCCCACAACCTTGCTCCTTCTTCTCCCCCAAGGGTACTGTACCTTAAGCAGACAGTACTCCCACTCTTCAGAGTCTAGGGAGCTCTCAGTTTTTCCTAGAAAGCAAAAGGAAGCAAAAGCCCTCGCTGCTATTTAAGCTCACACCAAAGAAGAGCCCAGTGGTATCCTCTGAGGTCAGACCTCCCAAAAGTCCCAAGCCATCAGGCTAGAAAGGGCCTACAAAGCACCTACGTCAAAGCCCTTGTGAGGCCAAAGACACAGGAGGAATCCCAGGGGCATTTGTCAGAGCCACTGGATTCAAGTTGGGAAGGATGCACTGACTGCAGCTGATCCCCATTCCTTGACTGCAGCTCCCAGAACAGCTCTGACCACTGAGTGCCAGCACGCACCAGCAACACCCATTTTCTCCTGGATGACCCACCACTTTCTGCCCATTTGCAGCCCATCTCCCAAGCTGTTGCCAAGGACGGCTGCTACAAACCTAGCCTGGCCTGGGGACTTGGCCCTCCAAAGCCAGCGGCTGCACCCTCTCCAGGAGCACCAGTCCTGTCCCTGCCCCAAACACCATCCCAGCCAGGACATGGGGGTGCCACCAAGACCTGCCATCCAAGGGGACATCAACGGCCCCGTCCACCCCCTGGGCCAAATTGACGCTGGGGGACAGCTGCCCTGAGCCTCAGTGCTGGCAACAGAGCAAGTGCTGGGGAACGTCCCCTCCATCACGCTGGAAAGCTGCATTTCCCTGCCCCTCCTGTCACCCCAGCCTCTCCCTCCCCACCCGCACTTTACCTTCCAGGTACTGCAGCAGGAGGGGGATCTTCGTCACCCACGCAGCCCCCAAGGCTCTGTGGATCCTGCCGTGGAGGGCCTGCAGCAGCTGCAAGGCAGCGACTGCACGTTCACTGCTCTCCTGAGGAGCCGCCGCCACCACCTAAGTGACGGCAGGAAAGAAGGGTCACTCCTGCCACCAGAGCTGCAGCTTCTCCCGGGAGGGAGCTCGGGAGCTCAGCACCACTCAGCCAGCGGGAGTCCAATGGCTTCAACCGGAGTGCTGCTGGGCCCGAGAAAGGAGTGGGATCCCCAACAGGCCCAGGAAGGCTCGGGCACACTGCCTCCTCCTCGGGGACTCCAGGCACTGGCCTCAAAAGCATCTCTGCCCCAGGCTTTCCCACCACCCCGGCCAGAAAAGCTCTTTCCTCAGAGCTCCACTACTCACCAGCAGTCGAGTCAGCAGGGCCTGGGGAGCTGGCAGCCAGGCTGCAGGGAGGAAGAAAGGATGGCTGAGCCAACAAGCCCCCGCCGTGCCCTGCCCCTTGCACCTCTGTTGCCCCCACAGAGGGCTGAGGGCTGAGAGCAGCTGCCCTGACACAGTGCTGGCCCGGGCCAGGCTCCCGAGGGCTGCCCAGCATGAGATGAAGGCAGCTCCAGCATGGCCAGGAACGAGCCCTGGCTCACCAGGAGAGTGCTGCGAGCAGGAGAGCCAGGCCTCTGTGCCAGGCAAGGGGCAATGCAGGGAAGAACCCCTTGTGGCCAGCAGCAGAGCCTGGCTCTACCCTTTGGTTCTCCCAGACTCCTGCTCAGGGCTGGCTGGGCACATGCAGACACAGACTGGCCTGGCCCCGAGCCGAACCCAGCAGCACTCACTGCGGCTCCTACCTTGGTCCTGGGAGTCCACGGCATCAGGGTCCTCCTCTTCTTCTTCGCATCCTGCTCTCTCCCGTCTCTCAGCCAGGGCTCGGAGACAGCGGGAGAGCGGGATCAGCATGCCGCTGTACTGGGCTGGCACCACGTACTGCAGCAGCCTCGGCCACAGGAGCTGCAGAGAAGAACCAGGCAGTTCACCACATTGGCATTTCCACTCAGCTCGAAGACAAAAAGGATGGTCTGTGTTTCCCTGAGCCTTGTGTGCTTCAGCACACATGAGGGGAGAGGTTCAGGGCATGAAGCACCACAGCAAAAAACGCCCTGAAAGCAAGAAGTGGTCACAGCAGCAGGGCAGAGGGCAACTTACTTTGGTCATCCCTCTCAGAGAGACATCCAGTGAGCCCAGGATGTCCATGCACAGGGCTCGAAGAGCTTCTTCCTCTGGGGTTTTCCGGGCAAAAAGGCCTCCTGCTACCTGTAAGACAGAGTTGGCAAAACCCCCGTTACTCTCAGCTCCTGACTGACAAGGCTCAGGCATGGCCCCACCAGTGCCACTGTGCCAGCCTCCCAGGAGCAGAGACCTCCTGAAGGAGGACAAGGACAGCCAGACTCAGCTCGAGGACCAGTTTCCAGACCCTGGGAAGGATTGGAAAGCCTGGGAGCAGAAAGAGACGCTACTTGTCTGCACAGTCCCCCAGGGCCCAAATGCTGCTGTCATGCCACCAAAGCAGAGATAAGGAACATGCCCTTCAGCAGGGTTGTGCTCAGTACCAGCTCTGGTGGCAGCACACCCAGCCCGACAGATGTGGAAGAGAACCCAGAAGCCCTTTCCTTCACCCTGCTCCCAAAGCAGACCCTCCCTGAGCCCTGGAGCAAAGCGATGCACACAGATTCCCCAGCTGGAGGGAAGCTCCAGCCAGAAGGAAGATCCTCTTTCTTCTGGGCAAGTCAGCAGGAGGCTCGGCTCTCCGTGGCCTTCATCTCCTGGGCACCCAGCTGGAAACACCAAAGGGACTGCCAAGTGGCCTGTCCCCTTGCCAGATGGGAAACAGGTCCCCAGACTGCTATCAGATGGGCAGGGCATGCTTTGGAAGGCCACAGCACAAGACCACCACAGAAAGTTCCTTTAGCCAGGCCCACCTGTCTGCACGGGCTGTGTTTTGCTGATTGTCCATCAGCATTTAAGGATGGAGGATGTCCTGTCCCTGCAAGGCCCCTCCCTTCACAGGGCAGCTTTGCTGAAGGCGCCTGTGGACACAGCTCAGCCCGTGGGGCTTCCAGGCAGCCCTGCAGTCCCGGGTGGCTCGCCCAGGTGCAAACTGACATCATCCACTGACATCTCCACTGACATCAGCACAGACACCCACGAGGAGGAACAGACATTTGGAAGCTGCCCCAAGGGCAGTGCTGCCACTGATGGCCCTGCAGCATGGAGCTCTCCATGGTCAAGGATGCCTGCAGGACCTCTCAGCACGGTCCAGGCACCAGTCAAAGCCCCGGGTGTCCCACTCTGCCCTTACCAGTCTGCCTGAGGTCCGGCTAAACTCGTCAAAGATGTGCCCCACCACATCCCATGCCCAGCAGCTCTGGGGGCCGGAGCTGAGCAGCTCCCTGATGAACTCCAGAACTGCCCTCCGCACCTGCCAGGGGAGAATGTGGTTACCACCCTCCTGTTCAAAACCCAAATGGAAGCTGCCTTCACTTGGGGGCAGCCTTTGTGGCTCGCAGAGACATGACAAGGGCACAGCAGAAGCTTTTACTCCTGGTTTCAGGGATGGGCTTTAGCACCAGGCTGGATGTGCATTTGCCCTGCAGAGCACAGCAACATCCCCGCTCCACTCTGCCAGCTCTCCCTGGGAAGAAGCCGTCACCCACCACCTGGGCAACGCGCCGGCACTTCCCCAGGCACCCCAGCCCTGCCCACGCCAGCAGCAGCGTCACCTCTCACCATCAGCTCTCTGGGGAACACAAGGAAGCAGGGAAAGGGAATGGTCATCTAGGTCAGACCTCAGACTGCTGCTTCCTGCTATGGCCTTGCCAGGCTCTGCCCCAAGGAGTTTCTCTGCCTCCCCTGCCAGCACTGTCCCTTCCCAAACCAGCTCACCTGGGCACTGGGGTCATTGCACACTGACCGCACAGCCTCCACCACCTGGGGCAGCTTCTCTCTTGTTGCAGGTGCTGGAAGAAAGATGGAGATTATGTGTTGAGGCAGAACCCCGATGGCAGAAGGGATCCCTTGAAGCTTCCAAGCTTTGCATACACCAGCGGGACAGAAAAGCAGGGCCTGACTCTGACTTCACAGGAGGCAGCAGCGTACCCAGAGCAACTCCATTTCTAGAGGCATAGCTATTTTATAGGGACTGAAAGCTATGGTAACAGAAAACGAGAAACGGCATGGGTACAAGCAGCTCCTGTGCACACCAGCCCACCCGTTTGCTCACCAGCCCGCCCGTGTTGCTGAGCTTGGAGCCTCATCCCTGGTGTGCTGCCGTTTCTAACTGCTGGGGGAGAGCTCCAGCCCCATTGCAGGGCGTCAGCTCAGCTGGGGGACCCACTCTTTGCAGCTCCTCTTGGGTGCAGGTGCACAACTTTCAGCCCGTTCCTGCCCTCAGCCCAGCAGCCCCAGCCCCTGCCTTGTGTCCCTGGCCCATGGCACTGACCATCAGAGCGGGCTAGCGCTGCCAGCAGGTCCAGGGCTGCCACACGGCCAGCCTCACTCCCACCGCTCAGCTGGGAGAGCAGAAACACGACCGTCTCCTCAGGGCAGGTTCGACCTGCAGGGAAGAAATCGCGTTCTGCATTAGCAGACAGCTGCCTCCGACCACTGAGGACTGGAAGACAGCTGCCATGGCACGGGGGGCATCACCCAGTCTCCTCTCCTTACCCTGCAGCACAATGCAGCGGGACAGCACTGCCTTATGGGCTGGGCCAGGCTCCTTGGTCACATCGGAGAGCTGTGGGAACAAGGTCCATTTTAAAGAAATTCACATCAGTGGTGAGGGGGACTGAAAAGAAACAGTGCTCTCTGTCTTCCTCTCCCAGAGTCCTCCTGCAACTTGACTGAGAGGAAAATTGCTGTGGGAACCAGGCTGCCCCTCAGACCCGTTCCAAACAACCAGGATCAGGCCTCCTGCAGCCTTAAGGCACCTACGTGGCACCTGGCTCAGAAATCCTGGCATGCTCCTGGCCTGTGGGAAGGTCCTGGCAGAGAGACGTGCTGCCCTGCCTTTCCCTTCCCTGCCAGCCAGCAAGTGTTACCCCTTCATTGCAATCAGAGGTGCGGGCCCCAGGCCGGCAGCAGGGCACAGGCTCCCCTTACCTGGTGGTGCACAGCAGTGCTGATGGCAAGAGCCGTGCCTCGTGGGATTGGGGTCTGAACTCCCTCCAGCATCTCCAGGACATAGCTGAGGCTCTACAAGAGAATGGGGGAGGAAGAGGAGGCTAAAGCCACCGAAAGCCACTTGGCAAGGGAGAAACCTAGCACGTTCGGGATAAGGGGAGTCCCTAGCACCAGCTCCCAGGGAAAGCCCCAAATCATCCTGCAAGGGGCTTCTTGTTTGCCCTCCCGTCAGAGCAGCATCGGGAGGGTCTCTTTCCTCTGAACAGAGCCTGGTGCTGACAACTCTGTTTCCCGGCACTTCCCACTCATCAGACCTTGCCCCTCACTGGACAGGACTGGACATGGTCCTGGGCATTAGGGCAGAGCTCTTCCCACACACAGAGCCCCAGGGAGGTGCCAGTGATTTTTCTTTTCTTGACCAAAGAGCCCAGGCAGCCCCAGGCCTCCTCTGCTCTCCCTTTTCCTTCTCTATAGGCTTTCCAGCTCCTCCTGGTACCCCACAGCTCCCCAGTGCCTCACGGCACTCACACACATCCACCCCAGCAGCCACGCCGGGCCCTGCATGACTCCTCACCTTGGTGACCTGGGAGGTGTCTCGGACCACCTGATATTGGTGCAGGAGCCAGAGGAGCTGCTCCCAGGCATGCTCTCGGTGCTGCTCCTCATGCAGAAGGCCCCCCATCATGGCAGCCACCGCCCCGAGGACAGCCTGCTTGTCCTGGAGAGGGAAGGGAGAGGCTCTGCTTGGAGGGCTGAAGGTCTGCCTAGCGCTCAGCATCCCCTGGACACCAGTCTGCCCTTCCCACTGGGAGGGGTTTCCCTTTCCCTTCTGCCCTGCAGGAGAAGGGCTCACTCCAGAGGACAGAGCGCGTTTCCCCGTGCTGGTACCCCAGCCCTCCCTGCAGAAAGGCCCCAGGATTCGGCTGCTTCTTGACAGGGAGCTCCCAGCTCCAGACACGGTGCCAGCAGGCTCCCGGCTTGGGGTGCTTTCTCACCCAGACCACTTCCCTTCCCTGCCCCCCTCTGCTTGCACCCCATCGGGCACAGACAGACCCACTGACGTGAACATCCCCACTGCAGCCCCAGGCGTGGAAAGCAGCACTTCTCACCTCTTCCTCCTCGCAGCCCAGCCAGTTTACCACCACATAGTGGAAGACTGGGTAAATGTCTTCACACAGCTGCGCCTTCCTGTTGCGAGGAAAGGGGCATCGCTCCCGGTTGCAGAAGTAGGTATTGACCCCTTTTGACCATTGCTCCAGAACTGCACCAGGAGAGAGGAAAAGGGAGCACGTGAGTCTGCAGCAAGGAAGGTTCCTTGCACCCTCATCCAAGCCTGCTTTAAGGACAGTCCCAGGCTCAGCAGGGCTCAGACCAGGACCAGATCTGGAACTGAGGACAAGCTGTGCTCTTGAGGTATCTGGATTCAAACACCCCACTGTTTCTCTCCTCCTCTCCATCACACTTATTCCTCCTCAATGGTCTGTTCCCCTCCAGCATATTCCACTGCAGCCCCTACCCCTCTTTGCCCACATACTCGCCCTTTCAGTGAAGGGACTTTAAACCCCAGAGGAAAGCAGGGAAACAGAAGCCATGGGAAGGGACCCGGGAGTTCTGCTGCGCAGCACTGCCGTGTCCTGCCCACAGAAAACTCCCAGGCTTCCCCTGCTCCTTCTGCACACTCTCAGCAGTTTGGGATTGCCAAGGCCTGACTTCACTGCAGGCTGACACCCACCATGTTCTGTCTGAGATCACATGAAGGCATCAGAGGCCACCCCCGCCCCTGCCCCTGGGACCCCAGCCAGGGAGCTGAGACTCACCACTGCAGATGGCGCGCAGGATCCGGCCACTCCCCACCCAGCTCAGCATGGCACGCAGGGCGAGCAGTGTCATTCCCACGAAGGGGATGCACCGCAGGGCTGCAGAGAAGGCAGGGACAGAGGGACCAAGACAGTCAGTGAGAAACACAGGTGACTGGGGTCCATCCCTGGCTAGGCTGGGGCTGCTGGGCCAAGCAGGACATGCCAGAGGGTGTGGGGAGGGCTGCTTTCCCCAAGGGGGACACAAGGAAGCCCTATGGGGAAATGGGGAGGACAGTGTGGGGCAGAGACCCTGTGGGTTTGTCTCCAGCGGGTTTCTACCCTCCAGGAACTGGGATTGGGCTGGTAAGGCAGAGCTGCTGGCCAGCCCTGGCACAGAGCAAGGAGGCACAGCAACTTCACAGTCCCCCAGCTCAACACAGAGCATTTAGGGAGGGAGAGGATCCTCTCTCCCCATTATCACAGACCCCTACCCAAACCAGGAGGCCAAGGCTGCCGTACCGTAGCTGCGGGCCATTTTGCCCAAGGTGAGGAGCATAGTCTCATCAGGGACTTTCCCCTTGACCTTCAAGTGGCTCTGGAGCTCGGACATGACAAAGTGGAAGTGGGAGCGGGCCAGAGCCACCAGGACGTTGCTAGCAGCCATCTTCACATCATCTGTCACACCCTGAAAAAGCGCCACAGGTTAAACACTTCCGAGAAAAAGGCTGAGGCACTGGGACGGGCTGAACGACCCTGTCTCCCCTGCAAGACCCCTCAAGGCAGTTGTGGTTGGGCCAGGTGGCTGCTGCCTCTTGTACCCTGGGGTAGGTGAGCAGCTCCCCGGTGAGACCCGGGAGGCTTTTCCCCGGCGCAGCCCTGTGCTGCTGCGTCCTCTCCCTCTCTGTGGACATGCCAGGAACAACTGTCGCAGACTTGAGAACCCCCTGGGGCCTCTCTGTGGAGCTGGTGGATTCCCACAGCTCTTCCTCAAGGCAGGAGAAATAACCTTGAGTTTGAACCCAGCTCTAGCTCAGTTAGAAACAACCCCGAGTCCCCCTCTCTGCACAGCTCTCTGCGTCTCCTCTTCAAATTCTCTGTAATGAGGAGTCCCCAGTGCTTCTCCCTTAGGACTTCCACTGGGCCTGAATAACCGAGGAGCATCTCTGCGCTGCTCTGTATTTTCCCAAAAACCAGGGGTGGAGGCAGGCTGCTTTGGTGGCCTGGAAAGAGAACAAGCTCACCTGGACTGCTTGCATGTCACTGGACACCTCTGCTATCAGGCGGTTAACAGCACCACTCATCAAACAGCCATCGTCTTCCTGCAAGATGCTCTCCAGCTCTCGGTACGTCTCTACTCGGTCACCCTGGGGACGCACCACAAAGGGGAGTGATGGGACTTGCTTTGCCCTTGTTCCCAGGGAGCCACGAGAGAGACCTGCTGCCCCCCCAAATCATCTGTGTGCCTTGGGCATGAGGTATGAGCTGCAGGCATCAGTCAGGACAGCCACGGGGAACAGCAAGATCTTCTGTGGCACCTCTGACACTAGCAGAGAGCCAGACAGGGAGAGCAACTCCACCAGGGTAAAAGGCATGCAGGAGCCCAGAAAGTCATTCCTGAGGATGGTGGATGGCGGAGGTCAGAGGGAGAGTGCCAGGCGAGGAAGGGGAAGGCGTGGGAATGAAACCATGCCCTGAGGAGGGGAAGCCATGAGCACCATGCACTTTGGGGCGCAGCATTGCTCCTTGCACAGGCAGGAGCCGCAACGCTGGGACAGATCCTGAACCAAAGCTAAGGAGGGGCCTTGGGCATTTGGGCAAAGGCTCTGGAGAGATGCTGGGGTGTATGCCAGAGCCTTTGCCTTGCCCAGGAGAGCACTGCGAGCACACGGGGAAAAGAGGGAGGGAGCGGTGTCATTAGTCTAGCTTGAGCGGCAGAACTGGTGCTTGGGGATGAAGCGCCTGCAGAAGGGCCGAAGTGTCATCAGGCAAAATCCCCCTCTGCCACAGCACCCAGGGAAGCCAAGGGCATGGAAGGGAGCCCTCACCCCCCCATCTCACCTCATGGTCTTGCAGCTGCTTTATCAGAGAAGTCCCAACGGCTGCAAAGGTAGTGACAGCTGCAGGCACAGTCCCCTTTGCCCTGCTTTCATCCTCAGTATGCACAGGTCTGGACTGGGAACTCATGCATGGGCACAGAGCTGGAAGAAAAGAAAGAAACGGTTTTGCTGGCTGCAGGGCTTCGAACCAAGGAGTGGTGAGGATCTTCCCAGCACTAATAGCCCATGCTGGGCTGCACTGGCAAGAAGGCAGTCAGTGGGATAAGGGGAGGGAGTCTTCCCCTCACTGTAGCACTGGGAAGAACACACTGGGGGACTGAGCCCATTCTGGGCCTCACAGTGCCAGAACAGCAGTGATGCGCCAGAGCGAGTCCAACATGGGGGCCCAGAGCTGGGCAAGGGATGGACATGGGGCCCTGCGAGGAGCCCAGCCCCTCACCTCTGAGCGCTCTCATCCTCCTCATGGCAGCAGGATCCCCCAGATGAATGCCTTGCTCTCTCTGAGTCCGCCTCCTGCGAACACCATGAGAAACTGGGGCAGCACCAGCCCTGGGGGCAAGATATAGAGCCCGGCCATTGTGACACGCCTGCGGGGCGCAGTGCCTCACAGAGGGCTGCTCACATGCTGGGCACACGCCGTGGGGTGGGCACCGGACACGGCAGCACCCTGGGGACCCCCACAGGCCCAGAAATGCAGGATTTCCCCATTCTCCATTGCTTGAACTCGCTTGTGGTCCTGAAACATTTTTAGCAGTGACTTTCCCCCGACAGCCCTTCCCAGCCCCATCTCTGATCCACGTAGCCCTCCAGGGACCCGAGGCAACGTGGTCTCAAGGGAACTGACGTGGCCTTTTCCCTCTGCATTGTTTCTCCCTGGTTTTCTCCAAAGAGGAGGCTCCTGCTTGTATCTGTGTGTGCCCTCCCCTATGTCTCCTCCAAGAACGTTGTCTCCCCTTCTCCAGCCGGGGCTGAACTGGGCAGAAACTGGAGATCTCCAAGCCATCAGACCCAACTGCATCACGACAAGAGGTGACAAAGGAAGGAGAGAGATCCAGGCCAGAGCTGCAGGAAAATCCAGCCAGGTCTCTTGACAGCACACGTGGGACATGCTACAGCAGAGAGACACTGGCTGCCAGAGCAATCTGTGCCACCGCTTACAGCCGCACAGCGTCACTCAGCCACCTGCAAAGCCCTGCTAGCACCCAGGGCCTGACAGGATCAGGCCACAAGCCTCTAGTAAACGCGCACGGCAAAGTTACTCCCCATTTTCCCATTTTCAGCCAAGAACATCAGCATTGATGACAGGGGGGGCCCAGCCCAGCCTAGCCGGGCGCTCAGGGCACAGCTGTTCCTGGCCCACCCCGGCCTGCGGGCCTGGCTCGGGCCTTTGCCCTGAGGCCTCACCGCAGGAACAGGCAGCGGCTGGGAGAGGGGCTGGGACTGGCTGACAGGCAGTACCACTCCGGTCTAGCCCCAAGCCAGGCACGAGGACAAAGTCAGACCCACAAGTCCATGGGGTTGGCAAACAACCCAGCTCCCAAACCACATTGGTTTGGCAGGCCCAATCTGGACCATCACGTCACATCATGTCACATATGTAGCTACATATCACAGTAAACACGGTGTTGCCATACCAGGCCACAGGCCTTGTACTAGCTTAGTAATACCAGATCTAACAGCTCATCAGGCCTTGACTTCTCTTATTTTAGCTCGGTTTAGCTGCCCACATTTCCCTTGGCCCTAATTTTTGCAGCACTTACCACGTTCACAGCGTCAAAGAGGCTCTCAGGGGGGACAAGTGTGGCTCTGAAGGGGCACTTCTGCAGCAGCATAACTGACTTCAGTCCCTCTGCCACGATCCAGCCACAATCTCGGGTGCTGAAGGGGAAGACACCCTGGAAAGCAGTCAGGAGGGCTCAGCGCCCTTCCCTGACCCGTTCAGTTCTTGTAAGGAGGGGAGGTGCTACCCCTCATTCCCATCCCCTCTGCCCAAACCCCTGCCCCGTTCATACATCCTTCAGAGACCAGTTCCAGCGATCGTACCTTGTTCACATGGCGATAATATTTCTGGTAGTCAGGTGGGTTCTGAAGAAGACAAGAAACAAGTGAGGGCAGGCTGGAGGTGCCTGGCTGCAGGACCATGGGCTGAAACCATCACAGATGCAGAACCATGTGGGACTGGCCAAGAGCTCAGATCTGGAGCAGAGAGTGCTGAAGAGAAATCGCATTTTGACCTGGTTTCAGCAAGTATTGTTAAAGTCCCCTTTTTGGGTGTTTTCCTGCTAGGGAGCCATCTGCTTCCATTGCTCCCATTGGCAGCACCATGAGCAAGACCTATGACTGCATCTGCACCAAGCTGCTAGTGACAGTGACCCCCACCTTGAGCCACTGGCCTGGCCAGCGGGAGCTGAGCTTATGCAGTCACTAGCCAAGGAGTCTGGGTTTCCGAGAAGGATGCCTCAAATGTGTGGGCACCAGACAGGACAAAGGGCAAAGAAGCCTAAGCTCTCAGTTTTACAGTCTCTCTTAGCCCAGGCAGCCAACCCAAAACATCCCTGGGCCTGGCCAAGGTCCTCTCCAAGCTGCAAAGATGGCCCCCAGCAACAGGGAGGAGAAAACAGGAGGCTGCCCCTAGGACTTTCCTAGTCCATCCCTTCAGAAGAGCTCTTCAGAAGGCAGCAGACACATCCAACAGGGCTCTGAGAAGCAGTCAAGTCTGCATAGCCAGCATGTGAGAGACATCACCAACTGGCTCAGCTCACCCGGGTGAACCAGAGGAACTCATAGGCATTTTGGAGGCAGGATGTGAATTCAGGCATCTTCTGGGCTTCTGCCTAGAAACAGAGGTGCACAGTCAGCAAGGAGCTGTGGCCACCAAACATGCCCCTCAGGAAGAAGAGGGTGTGCTGGGACCTTGCTGACCTGCTGATCTAGATGCCATTAATGCCTGGCCCTTCATAAAGCCCTTTCTGTAGGTTTGCATTCATACTTTGCTTACCGTTTCCATTACAAACCTCTACAGGGAGAACTGGACCAACTGTTGCCAGCATCACTGAGAGAGATATTTGCACGTTCAGGTTAGGGGCTTACCAGGGCAATCACACCACCCTCCAAAAAGTGTGCCTACCATAGCTGTCTCTGCCCCAGTGCGGGAAAGCAAACCTGCGCACTGTCCCTGCCAAATGGCAATGCTCTGGGGCCAAGCGGAGCAAGAAGGAAGGGCCAGGGTTTTACCACAAGACTGCAGCAACTGGGAAGTCTAACCCGACCCACTCAGCCAGCGCTGTGGCCTCCTGCTTCAAAAGCAGCTGGCAAAGATGGGCTGTACCAGCTGTGCTGGGCACCCTGCCTACCACGGCCGAGGCGGGCTCTGAGAAGCCGTGTGTTTGCCTGGCTCAGTCATAGGATGCAATGCCAGAATTGGCACAGCTGCTGCTGGTAGGAGCTACTGGTATTTGTGGGGGAGGGGCACGGAGAGACTTTTTTTCCCAAGGCAGAGTGTAGCACCAAAGGGTGCATTACCTCCCAGAAGGCTTTGATGGCAAAGGCAGTATCCCAGAGCTGGGATCCATTTGTGCCCTGGAAGAGAGCAAGTAGATAGTGAGGGGCAGGTGCTGGCAGCAGCCTGACCTAGCTGTGGGGTCCATGGGACAGCACATCCCTCCTGCATTACCCCCACCAGCTCCCTCCGCCCTGCGTCTCAGTTTTATGTCACCCAGCATCACGGCTGATGTGCTGCCATAGAGGGGACAGATGCAGCAGCTCAGGGGCAGCAAGGGGATAGGAAAGGAGACAGCTGCTTCAGCCTGCTCGGTGCACAGCCAAGACAGGAGAGGTGGCTAGCAACAAGGAGCATAGGGACACAACAACTATGAGAGAAGCACAGCTCAGTCCAGATGCAGTATCAGGGGCCTGTCATTCTCCTTCCCTTCTCCCAGGACCCATGAGGATGCAGGGGATGGAGCCCTAGAGCTGCCCTCTCAGCTTACAGAGAGGCAAACTAGAAGGACGGACACTACCCACTCCTGGCACAGCCAGGGGAAGTGACAGCGAGACAGACAAGGCCACCAGGCACCAAAGGCGAGATGCCAGGAGCTCAGGCCCAGGGGTGAACAAGCTATCCCCTTATTCCATGGGCTGCCCCGGCACGCCAGGCTCCCTCTCAGTCACAGCTGAACTCCTACAGCACTTCACCTGCATCTTCATGCCGTTGAGGCCCAGCCTGTGGGAGGAGAGAGTGCAGTGCTGCAGTGCAGGCACAGCGAGAGTGCTGGGAAGCAAGTTGGGAGCCACGGTGCGCTCACTCCACAGGGATCAGACCCCTACGCTGTGCCAGGTGGGCCATGCTCAGCCCTTACCAGAGACAGCCAGGGATCCTGGAAACATGCTCCTGAAAAGCTGGGGAGTTCTTCCCATCCATGAACCCGTGAACCAGCATGTTGATCGTCTTGGAAATCTGCAGCACTGTCACCTCGGGTGTGAGGATGTAGGCACAGAGCCTGGCATGCCAAAGGACCGTGTTGAGGATGCGGGCTGCGATGCGGGCCACCTGGCTCAGCCCGAACACGGCTACACTGACGGGGGGGCACTGCAGGGATGACATCATGGCAGGGGCAGGCAAGGGACAGGCAGGGCTGGGGCGCACGCAGGGAGCGTACAAGAGCAGGGGAGCATTTGAGCTGCATTTGGGTAGTGTGGGAGGTGGGAACCTGCCAGGAGCATGTTAGGAGAGCGAGGGTGCAGAGCAGGAGGGATGCATGGGTCCTGGGGAGCCTGCAGAAGTGTGTGGGCTCAGCCAAGTACAAGGGGAAAGTGTGAGGAACATGTGGGCACCTTGTGTGGGGACACCAGTAAGTGTGTGCAAAGCACGCAAAGGGCACAGGGGCCCTGTAAGTGTGCGGGGAGGACGTGAGGACCATGCAGGCTTCATTAAGCACGTGGGGAGTGTGTGACTGCCAATAAGCGTAATGGGCTGTGCTCAGGGAGTTGTATGGATGCTGAGAAGCATGTGGAGAGCATGCAGGGAGCGTGCAGGTACCACCAAGCATGCGAGAGGCATGCGAGGGGCGTGCAAGGAGTGCATGGGTGCCAATAAGTCTGTGAGGGACATGTGAAGACTCACATGCACGGTGTGGTGCAGCAGCAGCTCGCTGAAGTAGGTGTAGCACTCCTCCACATCAGGCAGGGGTGTCTCTGGGATTGGGGGGGAGTCATGGTGAGCCCCACACTGCACCCTGATTCCCCATCCCTTCCTGCCCCTGCCCTCACCTGTGCCCATGGCGATGGTGCAGCGCACGGTGCCCAGCAGGGCTGAGTGGCCCTTGGGCCAGGTCTAGCTCCTGGCTCAGCTCCGGGGCCCCCTCACAGGCATCCAGAAGGACAGGAGACCCTGGCAGAACTGCTCTCAGCACACTGGGAGAGCAGAGACACCCTAGGAGGTGACAGGGACACCACGGGGGGACAGAGACAGCCTGAGGGACATGATAGGGATGGCCTGAGAATACACAACAGGGAAACCAAGAGGGACCAGAACACCCTTTGGAGACACAATGTGTAGAGGGCAGAACGGGGGCGTATAGGGACAGCTCGAGGGGACTGGAGGAGGATGCTGTGGTAATGGGGCATAGGGAGGACACAGATACCTAGATGGCTGCTAGGGGGAATGGGGACACCAGTGGGAGATATGGGGATATAGAGAGGGGATATAGGCAGCCAGGAGTGGGTTCTAGGGTGTCCTGGGTGGGACAGGGACACTGGGACTGACAGAGAAAATTGGGATACTGTGGGGAAGGCAGGGAGACTAGGGGAATACTGTGGGGGCAGGGGTGAATGACCTACAGGGTGCCCCAGTGGTATCTCTGGGGGTCCTGAGGTAGGGATCCAGAGGTCCCAAGGGGGTCTCAGGGGTGTCATGGGGGTCTCAGAGTTGTCCTGACTTTTCTTGGGGGTCCCCTGAGGCATTCCTCAGGTACCTAGAGTGTCCTATCTGTCCCCAAAGATGTTCTGGGGATGTACCAAGAAGTTCTGGAGTCCCCACAATGTCCTAGAATGTCCTCTGAGTGCCTTAAGGGGTCCCAGGCCCCCCAAAATTGTCCTACAGTGTCTCCAGGGTGCCCTGAGGGTGTCCTAGTGGTTGAGCCCCCAGGGTGTCCTAGGACTCCCAGGGTTTTCCCCTGGGATCTCAAGTATCCCAGGGTGGTCCAAGGGTGTTTCAGGTGGTCCCAGGTGTCCAAGGCCCCTCTGGGCACCCCACGCCCTCACTCACACACATTGATCCTGGAAGGTTGGGGCTGTCACTCCATGGCCACCACATCCAGGTCCTTCCTGCAGGGACAGGGCTAAACAAGGGGATGGGGGCAGGGAAGAGGGGACAGGGACATAAGGGAAGATGGGGACAGTGGGATCTGGGATGGGGCAAGAGGACAGTTGGGGATGAGGGGACCCAGCTAGGCAGTTGTGAACTCAAGGACCTGGGGAGTCCTAGGAGAGAAAATAAGGGACAGGAAGGATGCAGGGACAACTGGGGACAGTTGAGAATGGGGTAAAGGGGAGACCGGGGGGTGGCTGGGGACATTTCAGAACAGGCTTGGGGCCACACTCATCACACACAGATCTCAGTTTCATGGCACCGGGGCTGGGACAGAAGGAGCAAGGCTGTGAGCACTGGCAGGGCCACTGCCCACCACCAAGTCCGGGAATAAGGTCTTGGAACAGGCTTGGGGAGGAGTTGCTGGAGAGCTGCCTGGCAGAAAAAGACCTGGGGGTGTTGGTCGACAGCCGCCTGAACATGAGCCAGCAGTGTGCCCAGGTGGCCAAGAGGGCCAATGGCATCCTGGCTTGTATCAGGAATAGTGTGGCCAGCAGGACCAGGGAGGTGATGGTGCCCCTGTACTTGGCACTGGTGAGGGAGCGGCTGAGGGAGCTGGGGTTGTTTAGTCTGGAGAAGAGGAGGCTGAGGGGAGCCCTCATCGCTCTCTGCAACTGCCTGAAAGGAGGCTGGAGCCGGGGGGGGTCGGTCTTTTCTCCCCAGGAACAAGTGATAGGATGAGAGGAAACGGCCTCAAGCTGCACCAGGGGAGGTTTAGGTTGGATATTAGGAAAAACTTCTTCACCGAGAGGGTGGTCAAGCATTGGCACAGGCTGCCCAGGGAAGTGGTTGAGTCTCCATCCCTGGAGGTATTTAGAAGAAGGGCGGACATGGTGCTCGAGGACATGGTTTAGTGGTGGACTTGGCAGTAACAGGTTAACAATTGGACTCGATGATCTTAAGGGTCTTTTCCAACCTTAACGATTCTATGATTTTATGAAAAAATTTTAGATCCACCTGATTTCTGGGTCTGAGGTGCTGGTTGGTGTGCACCCACTGGTGAAAGATCAGAAAGCTCTGGCTGGATATGTTCTCCATGCATTCGCTACATGTTTTCATCTTTTCTTTTTCCATGTTTTCACCACATGTTCCCTGGAGGTATCTGGTACCTTTGGGGCTGGGCTTATGTCATTCAGCAATGCTGCCTTTCTTTTGGGTGCTGGACTGTGAGGCAGGGTGCAGGACCAGGCTGGAGCAGTCCTTGGTGTCAGAGGGCTGGCAGGATGCCTTGGCTGCCCTGACAGGCAGACACTGCAGGATATTTTTCTTGGATCTGAAGCTCCTCCCACAGTCCACACAGATGGATTGTGCCTAGCGCAGCTCCAGCATCCTGATGACCTCCTTGTAGGTACTGGCAAGTGCTACAAAGTCTGTCCAAAGCCTTTCCTTCTCCAGGTGGAACAAGTCCCATTCCTCCAGCCTCTCATCACAGTGCAAGTGCTCCAGCCCCTTGACTGTCCTGATGGCTTCTGCTGAACTTGCTGCAGTTTGTCAGCATCTTTATTGCATTGGGGAGGGGGGCAAAACTGGATGTATTATGTGGATGTAGTCTAATAAGAGCTGAGTAAAGGGAGATAGCACCTTCCTTAAAGTGTTTGCTATGCTCTTGATCATACAGCACAGGATGCTGTTGGCCTTTTTTGCTGCCAGGGCACACTGCTCGCTTGTGTTTGGCTTGGTGATTACCAGCACCCCCAGGGTCTTTTCAACAGACCTGCGCAATGCCTGGTCAGTCCCGAGGCACTGGACTTGGTATTTGTCCCTGTTGAATTACTAAGGTTCCTCCTGGCCTGTTGGCTCAGCTGCCCCAGGTCCATCACAGTGGCAGCCATCCCTTCTGGCATACCTACCAGTCCTCCCAGTTCAGTGTCATTGCAAAGTTCATGAGAGTGCACTACCTTGCCTCTCCAGGTCACTGATAAAGATGCTAAATGAGACAGGTCCCAGGACAAACCCCTGCAGTGCTTGGTGAAGTCCAAGTGCTTGGTGACAAGTCCACTTGTCACCATCCCCCAGGCACCCATTAACCACAGCCTGAGCATCCAGACAGCTTTTCACCCACCTGCTTGTCATCCCCAGCCCCATCCGGGCCATAACGTTCTAGCATTGACACAGCAATACTGTGGGGGGCAGTGTCAAAAGCCTTGCTAACGCCAAAATAAATGGCACCCACTCCTCTCCTCTTACCCCCAAACACAGCCGCTTCCTGACAGGAGGCAATCGCGTAGGGCAGGTGGGGCTTACCCGTGGTCAGCCCATGCTGCTGCTCCCCACTCCCTGTTCTCCTCTGTGTCCTCTTGGGAGCTGTGCCAGGGGAGCAGCCTTCGGTTCGCCAGCGCTGGCTCCCCTCGAGGGATCGTGAGTGCAACAGGGACGCTGAGCCACCCTCCCTCTGTACTGATCGCCCCAGTGCCAGGAGGGTCCAGCTGCCTTAGCGGGCTGGCCCAGCGGCTGAGGACAAAAGGCTTCTCGGGCATGCGACAGGCTGCTGTCGACTTGCGTTCGGTCATTTGGCACAACGAGGGAAGGTACCTGGGGTAAGAAACCAGAACGTTCTTTCCAGCTGGACAAAAGTAGGACAGTTCAGCTCTGGACTTCAGAAGTTTTGCAGAAAGAGATGCTTTTGGATAAAAGCTTGGTGCTTCAACAGCTGAAGTATCCTGGTGGACTAGAAACTGCCTGAGTCAGAAGCTGTGCCTGCCATGCCAAGTGTATGTTCCCAGTACATGAAGAACCAGAAGTGGATTTGGAAACAGCTGCTGCTTTGGGAAAACGCATGTTGCCTTTGACTAGTATCATGAGTCTTCTGTGTCTCTGGCCGTAGGAAGTTCATAACTCTTGGGCTCAGTTGCCGAAGGACAAGCCCTGTCCTTTTCATACATAATCTCAGGCGGGCTGTCATGGTGACCAGCTGTAGACCAAACCTTGCCATGAGCAAGCTCCCTGTGTGTCATTCTGCTCCCATCCTCATTTCCCAGCTTGTGTAAATAACTCCAGGCAGAGACAAAAGGCTGTTTGGATCTGTTAGCTGATCAGCTTTCTTCAGCTGAGCAGGTCTTCGTGAAAGAGAACGAATGGCCACCACTACTACGCTGCCCAAAAATAAGTTCAGGAACATCCTTCTCCTCTAGACATGCTCAGGATGGCTTCGGAGAGGAGAGGTTTCTTTGAAAACAGCAAGCAGTCATTGCTTTGCAGTTTTGTTTGACTTCTGCTGAGAATTGCTGATCTTCCCCAGAAAGCTCTTCAAGATGTTCTCTCTCACTGTAGAAATCTTCCTTTTCTTTTTGTTTTAGGCTTGCTGACATTCCTGTTCTGGCAGGAGGGCATGAGAGGAGATCGATGCAGCCATTTTTATTCAGTTAGCATGGTGAGGATACAAGGAGCAAAAATCCTACCTGAAAGAGCAAAGACAATTTGTCTTGTGCGAGATACGCTATGCTAAGAGTCTGTCATTCCTTATGCCATCTTGGCTTTTTAAAGTGCTAAAAACTGATTTTGTATTGAAGTTTTATTTTGCATGCTTCTGTTTGGGGTTGATCATATCCTCATAGCTCTGGGAAAAACCTTCACCTGCATGTCTGTCTGTCCATCTGTGTGATGCACAGATGCATATGGACTTGTTACATTGCCCGCTGTGACTGTGCGTGCTTATAAGGGTTGCTGTGCATGCCGTGCGGCTGCGGGTGGCTGAGCGGGGAGAACCAGAGTGCAGAGGCAGGGGTACTTATCACAGTCTTAAGATCTGCATCACCTCACAGCCATGACAAGCACTTGGGTCAGGATACCTGGGCCTGATTACCTCTGCTGCTGCCTGGGCCACAGG